TCGAACTCCTGAGCTCAAACAATCCGCCCGCCTCAGCCTCCCAGAGAGCTAGGATTACAGGCGTGAGCCACCATGCCCGGCCCCCAAAGTTACATTTTAATGGTAGGAAAAACCAAACCAAACCAAACTTGGTGACAAAGAGAGAAAAGTGTCCCCTGAGAGCTGGCCTGGTCCCCACAGCTGGGTGTGGTATGCTCCAATCTCCTAGCTCACCCACACTGGGCAAGGTCACTCTGTGACCATGAGGAAGCGAGTCAAGGTCAAAAGCAACACCATTCAGCAGTTGTCCTGAGCACTGTCTCTGGGCCATCCGCACAAATGACCAACGTCCCCCTGTCCTGAGCCAGTGCTGCATCCCTCCCGATAATCACAGCTGCAGCATCAACCCAACTGTGTTGACTGCGGGCATGTCCCTGTGGTCTGACTGACGGGCATCAACACAACTGCGGAGAGTGACGGCTGGAGAAGACTCGTGAGCCGGGCACTTCCTGAGCCTGACGCTTCCCTTTCATCACAGCAACCACTGATGACGCAGGTTAGTATTGTCCCAGTTCACAGACAGGACGTTAAGGCTCAGAGGGTTACCCGCCTGTCCACACCTGAATAGAGGCGGGTCTGAGACCTGAGCTGTCGCCCCTAAGCCCAGCGCTCTTTCCCGCCATGCACCCCTTCTCTGGGGCCTCCCTCACCAAGCCAGCCCTGTGGTCAGGCCAGCGTGTGAGCGCACAGGGAGAACGTGCCCTGGGTAGGGGTTGATTCTCCTAGAGGACTTGGTGGCCCTAGAGGGGCCCCCGCAGCAAAGGCTCCACCGTGCAGCCAACCCCTTCGCTGGTGGCCTGTGTCCAGGAGACGCACACCTGTGGACTGGCTGGCACAAGTCTCCAGTGCTGGGCGTGAGGAGGGAGATGAGTTCCTCCATCTGCCAAACTGAGCCCCGGTTTTGGGGGAAGGAGGTGCAGGTACTTTCCGGACATTCATGCCCCGGTGAGCAGATTCCCAACAAATGTGTTCCCAGGGCTGCTACCAAAGGCCAGCATTACCGGCGGGAAATCTTAGAACACCGATATGTTTCTAATAGTTACGCATTTATTTTCATGTGTAAGAAGAAAAAACACAACTAGTACATCAGCGTGTGGCTGCGTGGATACAGAGCTCAGCACAGGGCTGAAGTTGGAAGTGAGGGAGAAAAAAACAGTACATTGATGTCAATGAAATAACAGAACAGAAAGTCCTTGGTTATGATAAAAATCGTGGCGGTGATCCATGATCGCCAGCTTGGGACTTGCTGCTCTAAGCTTAGGGCAAGAAGCTGTGCTCCGGGCCGAAGCCCCGAAGGGTCCTACACAGAAACTGACCCAGTGCTCGGAACCTGTGGCGTGTGGTACATCAAGCAGACCCCAGGGGGGAAAGCACATTTTGTTTGACCTGTCTGTGCCCTACACATCGCCTCAAAGTGACGAAGCAACAGAAGCTGTTCTCCTTTGGCGGGGAGAAGCATCTTCTAGGTGTGGCCTCGTGCAGGCAGCGGTTACAGGGCAGCGCAGGCTGGGGGGCCCAAGTGGGACTTGGGGGGCACAAGCGGAGTGCTGGAGGGACACCTGCCCTGGCACCATCCTGGAGAAGAGTGAGTGTGTGTGTGCGTGTGTGTGTGTGTGTGTGTGTGTAAGAACACTCAGCCTCTGCACCCTGTTCCCCAGCATACAACAGGCGCTCGATCTGTGTCTGCTGACTCACCGTAGCGCACAGGAGGAGGTGCCAGAAGGCAAGGTGAAGGGACTGCTAATGTCCTCAGGTGTCTGGGGACCACCCTCTCCTCCACCACTAGGTCACATTCTTATACATGTGTGAACCAAGGGGAGACGTTTGCTATGAAGATTTTTCTCTCCCAAATCTAAAGAATGTTGTTTCCCATCATTTAAACCTCAACATTTTCAAAAAGCACTTTTTAAGGGACCTTGGAATTCTTCCTCCAACGGCTCAGCCCTGCAAGCCAGGGCTGGTCTCAGCACCCTGCTAGACAACTAACGAGTCAGTGCGGGGGACCCAGGCACCACCCGAAGACTTGTCCCAACTCGCCCCTGGAAATGGGTCAGGGCCAGCAGGGAACTCCGGGCGTGACCCTCATGGTCTAGGAGCCTTGGGGTGCCAGTGGGTAGAGGAGGAGTTGAAGGTCTAGGGGGCACTGTCCACCACTGCCCCCCTCTGAGCAGAAGGAGGCTCAGCCCCGTGTCCCAGACATGCAGGGCAGGGCTGCAGGCTGGTCCCCACTGAGGCTCAGAAGGAAAGTGTGCAAGAGCAGGTCAGGAAGGGAAACCAAGTCAGAGAAGGGCCCCGGCCGGGGCTAGCAGGCTGCTCACTGCCCTGGTGCCCGGCGGGTGCGCTCAGCAGCACCCCGCGGCACTCCGCTTCACGTGGCACGGCTTGCAGAAGAGACGGTCGTTCAGCGGGTAGCAGCCTTGGTCCGTGGGCTCCACAGACAGCAGGATCCTGCAGTCCTGGGGAGACAAAGACACATGTGGACGTGCCCCAGGCCTGGGCACCGCCTGCACAGGGCAGGACTCACTCGGCATCCGAGTAAAGCAGCCGAGGGAGCGAACGTACTCCCTACGGGGGAGGAAGGCGGCTGCTCCTTCCGTCCTCCCGACACACCTGGGCCAGGTCCCCACAGGGGGAGACCCGACACACACGGGGGCTTTAATCCACATGGAAGTGGGTGATGGCAACAGAGTCGCTGTGGGCGGAACTGAGGACACTCAGATCAGGGGAAGTTGAGGCTGGAAGGGCCTTAACAAGCCCCCGACAGCCCTTAGAACATAATTCGACGCGACAGGAAGCCCATGTACCGCCAGCTCCCCCGCCCGGACCAGCCTGGCACGCCGCCGGCTGCAGCAGGTATCTGCCCAACGAGAACTGAGTCTAGTCCGGTCCCTTCGTTTCACAGGCTTGTCCCAGGTCACACAGCTGGGTCTGGAGCTGGGACTGGGCGGGGTCTCCAGGCTCTGAGGCTGGGGGTCTCCTTGTTGCCCCATGGCCTATGCAACTTAAACACTGGCACAAACTTTAATATTTTCAATTTTTCAAATCACTAAAGGATTTCAGAATGAGGGGTATGGGGATTTGGGGCCCAAATTTTGCCAGCGTCACCATTTTGCCCCAGGCACGTTATCTGGGCCTCCCCTGAGCACAGGCTGGAGGTGATAATGAGAGCAACTCATACCTGGACACTCGGTGCCAGGCAGCCTTTGGAAGCGGCACGGATCCAACCAAAGGGGCTGGTCCCGTACAGACAACTTTGGGGTCACAGGTGGCATCCTGACTCAGCAGAGACCAGGGTCCACAGTCTGCCTTCCTCCCTGGCCAGCAGGGCGGGTGCCTCACATGTCTCTTCCCTGCAGTGCCAAGTGCCACCCTGAGTCTCTCAAGTGGACTCTGGGTGACATAACCCCAGTATCTGCGTCATTCGTAACAGCCCTTGTTTGGCATAGAGAGAACAAGTGCCAAGCCTGAAGTTGCAAAGGGACACATGTGACTGCTCCTAAATTAGAACCAAGTGAGGAAAACCCCTCACTATAGCCAAGTCTCACAAAGTCTATGAAGGAACCGTGGGGGGGCTGAAAGCTGGGTGGACCCGGCCCAGAAAAATATAGGCTGGAACCACCAATCTGAGCCTCAGTTTCCCCATCTTAAATGGGGACAGGGATCCCCATCTCGCAAGATGAATTAGGATTATATAAGGTGATACATATGAAAGCATTTTATAAATTTAAAAGCACTGCCTATGTCTAAAAGACTTGTTGTCCCTCCATCAATAGCCATAAATAATACGGACCCCGAAGCAGGTAAGAATGGTGAGACGGGGGCGTGGGCAGTGCCTGGCAGCCATTTCTCACCCTGGAGAACAGCACCCTCACTCTGCTCCAGACCACGGTGGTTCAAGAACCTCATCTTCCAAAACATAACAGCCGGAGTCCAGGAGTCCAGATTCCGCCTTACGACAGCAGCCTTGGCCACGCCCGCCCAGGGCGGCAGGGGGTTTATCTGCTCCCTAGACAGCTCAGGAAAGTGCTGATCACCATGGAGCTTACTGGGGCGACGGCGGTGATAACAGCGCTTGGCTTTCGTCATTGGGCTTTCAAGAAGCATTATCAGCTGGACCTTGAACTATAATCGACCAAGACAAAGTAATTACGAAGCAATTAATCAACTTCTCTACCCAGTTCCCTTGACATCTCAGTGAAAACAGACTCCTGGTTCCAATATCTGTTTAAATAAATGTGAGTGAATAAATGTTTAGAATTACTCATTGGCTGAGTAAGAGATTTGCTCTGGGACTCTCCACTTAGGTGACACCCATAAAAGTGGCCACCTTGTCCCCATCAGAGCAGACAGAAACTTCAGTGATATGGAGCTGGCAGCAGGAAGGGGAGAGGATTTGTGGAGCCTCCCCAGCAGGACTGGCTACAGAATTCGCAGAGTCCAGGGCGAAATGAAAATGCAGGGCTCCTTGTTCAAAAAGTAAGCATTTCAGGACAGCAACAGCAGAGTTTTAAAGCATGTGTCGTACCCTTGTGATCCCCAGGCCCTGTGGGACAACTCCCTGGGCATTTCTTGCTGGGATGACCAACTGTGCCAGCTTCTAACCAGCCTCCCCAGGTCAGCCCAACCACTCCCCACAGCCTGCCTCACCCCGCCCAGGCTCTTTCCTTCTCTCTGGCCTCATTAATAACCACACCTTCCAGCCCACTACACTCCAGACACAGATGTTTCTGGAAACTTCCTCTTTCTCTGATTCTTCAGGCTTGCTCATGCTGCAGGGGGTTTTTACAGGCGCTTTCCCTTTTCTGGACTTCCTTTCCCTTCTCTGAGTATCTGGCAAACTCCTACTCATCCTGCAAGACCCAGTTAAGCATCACCTCCACTACAAGAGTGCCTCTGATTCTGCCACCCTGGTTAGACTCCATCACTGCCTTCTTAGCCCCAAAGCTGACTTGCACACACTCCCAGCACCCGGAAAGGACATCTGTGCTGGCACCTGCCCAGCACCCCCTCCTCTCTTCCTATGGCTCATATGGGTCTGCCTCCCTGGCCCCAGGGGCCGTAAGTCCTAGTACCCGGCAGCCCCCACACGGTGCTTGCCCCAGAATGGGCAAGTAACCCAAGTGGGGCTGAGCAGGGGCCTTCTTGGGACTGTGTGGCTTCCTATCCCCTCTTTCCTTGGGGGTTTCTACATTGAGAGGTGTGAACCTGAGCCATCTGCACCTCTGTGTTCCCCTCCCCCCACAGAGGATGCCAGCCCCCAGGAAGAGAAAATGAGACAAACACACAAAAAAGGCAGAACCAAGAGATGGTGGCAACCCTGCTGCCACCATGTGATGTCATCAGTGATCTCACCACCAGAAGCCAACGGGTTCCCTGTCCTGCCAAAGCAACCTGAGTTTGGTTTCTATCATCAACCTAAAGAGTTCTGATTAATAGACTGGATTTGTAATTATTTCCACTCATTTGTCTCTGCCACGGACAGCGAACAATTTGAGAGCAGAGCCCCCACCCCAACTTGTCCCCGTGTCCCAGAACCCAGTCTGGGGCCTGGCGCGCAGCAGGCTCGAGTAGCGATGGAACGTCATTAGGTCGCCGCTGCTCCACTCACCTCACACCTGTAGCAATTCTCATGGAAGTTTCTTCCCATGCACTCAATTTTGAAGGCATCTTTCCCGTCCCGGGGAATGATGGGATTCTCACAGATGCTGCACACGGGGGCGAACTTCCTGGAGGGAAAGGAGCCAGGCGATGAACACAGAAATTAGCTGTCAGAACCGGGGCTGGCTGGCTGGAGTTCACCTGCCAAGCGATTTCGGCCCCATCGCTCCGTGACTGCACCTGGAGCTACCGCGTCCACGTCCGCTGCTTCCCGGCAGGAGCGGGTGGAGGGAGCTATGCAACGAGACCCAGCCGCCCAGGGTGACCGGAGAACGTCTGAACTGAGAACTGTGTCTGTCTTGTATTATAGGCCACTCTTGCACGTCTGTCTCTCCCCTTGGGCAGTGAGCAACTCGCAGGCAGGGACTGAGCCTCACGGATATCTACATGTTCCCAGGGCTTTGTCCAGCTCCAAGGGGAGGCCCCAGAGGCAGGTCCTCGGGGGTCTGCACACTTGCCAAGAGCGTCAATACCAGCTGCGGTAAAATGCAACCCTTAGTCGTGCCCACCTGCGACACTACGACAGATACTGGTTTTCGTCCGTCGTCCCTGGCTCCTAACTCCCACCGCCCTTGTTATAACGCGGTGCTTTCGGCATCAGAAAGCAGCATCTCTCCCTCCCTCTGATCTTCTCTTGCCCTCCTTCCACCTGCTCCTTTCTCTCCCCAAGGCAAGAATCTGTTCTTGCCTCTCTGTCTTGAGGCCGGCCATAAAGAAATTATCTGACTGTGGGTCATAAGGCCCTCATTCCAGAGAGGGTCCTGCCCCAGCCTGCAGGAGGGGACGCCGCAGCAAAAGGCCAAGAGGAATCCGAATAGGCCTTGCAGGTTTTCCCTCTCAGTCAAGCAGTATTAGATCACACCCTTTTGCCTCATCACATTTCTGCAGGGTAGACAGTCCTGTCCAATGAAGTCTCCATCGAAGGCCTACAAGGACAGGGCTTGGAGAGCTTCCGGATAGTTGAACACATGGGGGTTCCTGGAGGGCGAGGTGTCTGGGGAGGCACGGAAGCGCCACACCCCTACTCCCAGACCTCGTCCTACACCTCTCTCTATCTATATCCTCTATAATAAACCGGTAAACAGGAGGCTCTGGCCCAGCACTCAGGCTTGGCTCCTTCGTCCTGCCCGGGTCCCACCCTGTCCTCCCCACCCCTCCCAGCGCACAGACCCCTCCACACCTGTAGAAGTCGTCCAGGCAGTACACCTCGTTCTGGCCGTCCAGGGCAAAGCTCTCGTCCCCGATGCACCGGGCGCAGGCCACACACGTGAAGCAGGGAGGGTGGAAAGCCCGGCCCAGGGCCCTGATGACGTGCTCCCGGACCACCTCGCCACACTTGCCACACTTCTCGAGGGTGTCCTGGGAAAGAAGGCCAGGGCCATCCCATGGGCACACCCACCCCAAGCCATAAGGGTCTTCTGGCTGGCTATCCTCGGGGACCCAGGAGGCCAGGGGTGCAGGAAGACACACAACCGGCCTGTGACCACTGCCCCAAACCTCCACTGTCGCTCGTAACAGACTGAGCTTGGCACTGCGTCCTTGGCTGCAGCGAGGAATGCGGCCGTGAAGCTACAACCACGCCTCTTGTCACTGGGATGTGCTTGAGGCCAGGGCCCACCAGAGCTCTTCAGGGAAATGGCTCCTCAACCTCAGAGTGGGGAAAAGGAATTCCTGGGGGACTGGCTTTCATCCTTCAGACAGTAAACCTTGAAATTCTTCCCTTTTCCCGTTTGGCCACTTGGAAGCTCAGAGCCAAGTCCCGTGTTCTGCTTTCAGGAACCAGCACAGGGTCTGGGTGCTGACTTTCCCCGGGTCTCGTCACACTTTCTACTTTGGTTTCCTTCTGTTTGGATTTGCTTATTTTACATTTGTACATTTCATAGTATTAAGTGCATTCTTTTTTTCATTTTTAAATGTTATTTTATTTCCTTTCCTTTTTTCTCTTTTTAAAATCGCTTTTGTTTTTGTTTTCATTTTCTTTCTTTCAAGTTGGAGGCGTATTTGAAGCATTCTTTTTTTTTTTTTTTGAGACAGAGTCTCACCCTGTTGCCCGGGCTAGAGTGCTACGGCGTCAGCCTAGCTCACAGCAACCTCAGACTCCTGGGCTCAAGCGATCCTTCTGCCTCACCCTCCCGAGTAGCTGGGACTCCAGGCATGCGCCACCATGCCCGGCTAATTTTTTCTATATATTTTTAGTTGTCCAATTAATTTCTTTCTAATTTTAGTAGAGACGGGGTCTTGCTCTTGCTCAGGCTGGTCTCGAACTCCTGAGCTCAAAGAATCCGCCCGCCTCGGCCTCCCAGAGAGCTAGGATTACAGGCGTGAGCCACCACACCCGGCCGAGATTCACCTTCTTAACAAGCTTGTAAGTGTGCCACGTTGTCATCGACAGGTGTACACGCATTCTTACAATATAGGCTGCTCAAACCCTTTCTGGAATGAGGGTGGATTAGAGAGAGAGAAGACCGAGGCAGAGCGGAGGCCCCCGCTAACCTGTCCACCTTTCCTCTGGACGCCGTCTCTCTCCCCTTCCGGCTGAGCCGGTTCATCGTACCCTGGCTCTACCGGGGCAGACGTGTGGGCGCAGCACCCCCTCCCCGCCTCCTGCGCACAGCTCGTCTCTCCCTCCTGGCTGCTCCCACCCCTCAGTGCCTCACCCCTACCTGGCTCCACCCGGAGGGAAGAGAGTAGGGACCCCCCCCACGGTCATGTTGATGGGTTCGGAGGGATGGGGGGGCTGGCATCTTGCTCCCCCGACAGTGCTCACCGGTTGTGGTAAAGTCATGAGCCTGGAATCGGATTGTTCTGACTGTTCTGGATCCTTCCAACTCCAAACATTCTAACCCCCCCATCAGTCGTTTTCAAACTTCCACGTGCATCAAAATCACCTGAGACACTTGTAAAAAGGCAGATGGCCAGGTGCTGCCCATTCATGAGGACAAGAGGAGGCCTGCGCACACCCAGGGGACGAGGCTGCGGTGGTCTGTACGCCACACTGAACACGCCACCGCAAACCATCGAAGCGTCAGAAATTCCAATACACTGTCATCCAAACTGGCTTTCACCGACTGCATTTGGGACCCAGAAGGGGTGATTCCCTGTAGGCCACGCATAGGACCCTCATGGCTCTGGGTGAGGGAGTGACAAGACCACATGGAGGCTCCAGAGCCAGACAGGTCTGGGGGACAGCCCCAGCTCCTCGGCCTTCTAGAGTGTGACCTTGTGTGGCGGCTAAGTAATGCCCCCAGAGATCCAGGCCTAATTTCTGGAACTTGTGCACGTTGCCTTGTACGGCAAAGTGGACTTTGCAGATGGGACTAAGTCAAGGATTTTGAGATGGAGGGATTGTCCTGGACTAGCTGGATGGACCCTAAATGCCACCACAGGTGTCCCTATGGAGGGGGCAGAAGGGGACATGACACAGAAGGTGGTAATGTGGCCACTGACGTAAGACGCTACACTGCTGGCTTTGGGGATGCAGGAAGGAGCCCGGGGATGCAGCTCAGACACTGGGAAAGGCAAGGAAACAGATGCTCACCAGAGCCTCCAGGGAGACACCTCAATTCTGGCCCGGTGAACCTGATTTTGGACCTCTTTCCTCCTGCACTATGGGAGAATAAATGTGTGTTTGGGAGCCACCAACTCTGGTGATTTCTTACAGCAGCCCGAGGACTCTAACACATCTTTGCAGAGCTCCTTCTCCTTGCTGGGCCTCGGCCTCCTCGTCTGCGAAACAGGTCAACAGTCCCCATAATACTTCCCAGGACTGCCGTGGGGAACGAAATGACATCACGTCTCCCAAGAGTCTGGCTCAGTGCCCGGCACCCGGAGGCCTGCCGCGGGGGTTACCTGGTAGCAGCTTTCGCAGAGGGGCCGCCCGTCCTTCTGGTAGAAGCTCTGCCCGGCCAGCTGGCGGCGGCAGGTGCGGCACGTGAAGCACTGGGCGTGGTACTGCCTCTTCATGGCCTCCACGGCCAGCTCTCGGGGGGACACCGTCTTGTGGCAGAAAGCACAGATGTCTGGGGACAAGGAGACACAGGCTGTCAGCAGCCCAGCCTGGAGGACTGAATCCAGTCGCCACCCAGAACATGGGCCGAGTACCCAGGGTTCTGCCTCAGAGCCCTGGGGGTTCCTCAGCTGACAAACACAGAGGGTCGAGAGGAGCATTAAAACGGAATCTGAACAGCCTTCGAGAAGCCAAAATCAAGGACGAAGTGTCAGAACAACCGATTGTCAGCTGCAAACAAAGGAGTTGGCTCTATAGTGATACCTTACACCCAGATAATCCGAATTTATCAAAGATCTAGTGCAAAAAATGAAACCATAATAATCCTTGAAGAAACCGGAGGAAAAATATTTTATAACTGGAGATAAGGCCTTTCTAACAATGACATAAAATCCAGAAGCCAGAAAAGGAAGGGCTGAGACATTTGACTACACAAAAACTAAATTTTTATGGATGGCCAGGCGTGGTGACACACGCTTGTGGCCCCAGCTACTCGAGAGGCTGAGGGAGGAGGATCGCTTGAGCCCCACAGGTTCAAGGTCACAGTGAGCTATGATCATGCCACTGCATTCCAGCCTGGGTGACAGAGTGAGACCCTGTCTCTAAAAAAAAATCTTTACAGATGACAAAACCCACCATAAGTCAAAAGACAAACGAGGAACTTAGAAGAAAATTTGCAACTCATATCACAAAGACTCAGTCACCCTGACTGCCCCCGGCGGGTGAAATTTGCGTTGCTCACTGTGTTCCCGCAGGGTCCGCAGCGGCGCTGGGCGCATGGCAAGCACTTAATAGCTGTTTATTAAATGAGTAAGTAACACGCAGTGCTGCAGAGGCCATGAGGGAACAGTCAGGCAGACACTGCTGTCGGGAGTGAAGCTCGGGACAACGAACAACAGCAATTTGGTAAAAAGACCCAAATTACAGATGCACCTGCCTTCTGGCCACAGTACTTCCTCTCCTAGGAATTTAATTCACAGGTAAATCTGCACGTGGGCAAAATGACCGATATGCGAGGTGATCCATCTCAGCATTATTTGGTGCAGCGAGAAACCACCTAAGTATCCATCAATAGGCGGCTGGTGCAAAGCACTGTGGTACATCCCTACTAAGGAATGCCATGCAGCTATAAAAAAGAATAAGGAGCCACTTTATGTTGCATGTGCAACCAGCTGTGAGATGTACTAAGGAAAGCAAAGCACAGAACAGCCCAGTTTGCTACTGTTTGTGGAAAAATGGGGGAAGGGGATGGGCAGACACATATCTGTATTTGCTTGTATATGCATAGAATATCTCTGGCAGGATATGCAAGACGTCAGCACCGAGACTGCCCATCTGGAAGGAAACTGGGTGATATGAGGAGAAGGCCCCAGAAGGCAGACTTCTCCCTGTGTGCCCGTTTTACACTTTATTTTGCATTATGTGAGGGCCTCAGGTATTCAAAATTAAATAGTGAGAAAAAATTCAAGGCATTTTTGCTGTCGTAGCAAACTGTGCATATTAATATGTTAAATGGATTTTAGTTACAAAGGAAAAATGTTGAGGCAGTAAAAAGTAAATTGGGCCAGGCGCGGTGGCTCACGTCTGTAATCCTAGCACTCTGGGAGGCCAAGGCGGGAGGATCGTTTGAGCTCAGGAGTTCGAGACCAGCCCGAGCAAGAGTGAGACCCTGTCTCTACTAAAAATAGAAAGAAATTAATCGGACAACTAAAAATATATAGAAAAAATTAGCCGGCCATGGTGGTGCATGCCTGTAGTCCCAGCTACTTGGGAGGCTGAGGCAGGAGGATCGCTTGAGCCCCAGAGTTTGAGGTTGCTGTGAGCTAGGCTGATGCCACAGCAATCTAGCCTGGGCAACAGAGTGAGATTCTGTCTCAAAAAAAAAAAAAAAAGTAAATTGATGCCCAATTATAAAGCCCACCACTGTAGTGTGAGCTGGGGTGAGAATGGGGGTCCCTGCTCTCATAGTTCCCACCTGGAAGCCCATGCTGGCCCCACGACGGTCCCTGGGGACCACCCCAGAGTCCTTCCAGCCCTGTGCACATACCTGTGGATGCCTCTCTCTCGGGGAAGCCAACAGGCTCTGCCGGGGGAGGTGGCAGCTCCTCCTCCGTGGGCCCAAGGGGACCCAGCCGAGGCTGGACTGGAGGTTGTTCCACTGGGACCTGTGGGGACAGAAAGTGGGGAGGAGTCATCCAGTGGGGACCTCATGCAGCCCTCCAGCTCTGCTCCTCACCTGGGTGGCCCCAGACACAATCAGTCCCAGGGTATCGAGGAGGAAACTGAGGCCCAGGGAAGCAAGTGACCTGTCTAAGGTCACTCAGTGGGAAGGGTACAGTGGCAGCTGAAGCCCAGCCTCCTAGCTCCTTGCCCTGGGTCCCCTCAACCAGTCAAAGCTCCTTCTACCTGGAAGGAATCTCCTGGAGTCAGGTTTTCCCCTGGATGCTGGACTGAGTGGGCTCAGCCCTGGCCTGGGACCCTGCCCGTTTCCACAACGGCCTCTGCTAAGGGCTGGGATTATAAACGGGTTTCCCATGCAGCATGAGGGATTCAGTCAGACACATGGAAACGTCTTCCTCAGGGCCAGAGTCGGTGCCCAAAGGGAAAAGCGTGTGGCTCCCCTCTCCAGGGACCTTGAAATGCCCGACCAGACCAGACCGATTTTTACCATCCTGAATAGGGCCTCCCCTCCACAGGAGAACAGGCCCGACAACTTCCAGGCCTATAATCCCTGCAAGGCCCAGAAGGCCCAGACCCCCCATGCCCCCCACACCCAGGGCACCAGGGGGTTGGCAGTACCTGTGGTGGGGGCGGGGGCGGGGGCAGGTGCAGCTGCTCTAAGTCTGAAATGAGCGACGCCCCCACGGGGGCAGGGGGCTCCTCATCAGGTGGCAGGTACGCTGGAGGGGGCGGCGGGAGGAGGTCCAGGTCTGCGTCCTCACCATCCAGGGGAGGAGGAGGCGGGGAGCATCCTGCAACCAGAAGAGAAGGTTGGCCACAGCCTCCGCAGGGGGACAAAGATTTGTACTTCCCCAGAGGGCCGTACAGCAGGGTGGCGAAGGGCTCAGATCCGGGGCCACCCAGATCCGGGTCCCATCTCTGCCTCTGCCATTGACTTGCTGTGTGTCCTCAGGCAAGAGACTTAACCTCTCTGAGTCTTAATTTGCTCAGCTGGGAAATGGGCCTCAGTCCCTGAGGGCTGTAGAGGACTAAGTGAGATGATGCAGTGAGTGGCTGAGACACATATTTCAGAACCGTTAGCATAGACATGGTAGTTTTATACACACACACACACACACACACACACACACACACACACACACACAGAAACCGATAGATTGGTTGAAAGAAATCCCAGGTGTCCAGACTGGGTAACTGCAGGGATAGTGGCTGCACATGTCGTTTTCCTTTAATTCCTCTTTTCAGCTGTGTTCTGTCCTGGGCGGTTTTAATGTCTGGGGAGTTTTGCTTCAATGTCTTTGTGGGTATTGGGGTATTGAAGGGTATTGATGGGTGAATACCCTACGCCCACCGTTCAATGCTGCTCTGAACTTTCCAGGCCCAGTGTTTGGCTGGGGTGACAGAAGAGGGGTTGGGGCAAGGGTCAGTCGTACTCTGATCAGCATCTCTCAGCATTTTTAAAACAGCTTTATTAAGATATTTACTTTTTGTCTTGTGGATGTCCCAGTTCTGGCCGTTTGACACAGACACGCAGCAGGGCTCTGAGCACAGGAGCCGTGGAAGCGTCCACGACGCACCCCCACGGGGCTGGAGCGCCTGCAACCGCCTGCTGGGAGGCCTTGTTGAAACACAAGCATGACCAAGCCCGAGGCTGTGGCTCTCCGGGTGTGGTCTCTGGACCAGCAGCAGCAGCAGCAGCAGCAGCGTCCCCGTCCCGGGAGCTTGCTAGAAAAGCAACTTCTCGGCCTGCCCCAGACCTGCAGGATCCGAAACCCTGGGGATGGGGTCAGCCGCGTGGAGCTCAAGGGCCCTCCAGGTGACACTGATGTATTCAAGGGTAGGAACCACCACCCTAATTAAATAATAGATTCAGGTGATGACCATCAGGTGTTGAAAGCATTAGGCTGAAGGCTGATCAGGAACTTTCTAAGGTGGGGTTGGGCTGCTAACACCTGAACCCTGAACCCAAGAGACATCGGGGGTCTCCTGATTCATGTGACACTACAGGAAGCTATGGGCACCTCCTATGAAATGTTCTTACAAAAAAAAAGTCCCAAACAAAACCCGTAATCTAATCAGATCTCTAGAGTTAAGTTGCATTGATAATAAATTTGGCTGACAGAGGGGCTAGTTGAGACCATAAGGAAGCAAAGGGACAAATCCAGCACGTGGGACATGAAACTGAGCCTGTTTCTGCAACAAGTTCATGGCGTGAGGGAGAAAAAAAGGGGGACTTCCCTGGAATTAAGAGACTCAATATATATTTGTGTTGTTCAACAGTGGCCACATATGTGGCTACGTAGCACTTGAAACATGGCGAGCCAACACCGAGATGTGTTGTTAAGTCTTAATGTGGAAAGAAGAATGTAAAATATCTCATTAATCATTTTTTTTTATTTGGGGTCTTCCAGTGAGGACTGGAAAACCTGCTAGACAAATTCTAAAAGAGTTGTAACACTAATAATTTTTATACTACTCAGGAGGCTGATGCAGGAGGATCGCTTGAAGCCAGGAGACCAGCCTGGGCAACATAGCAAGACCCCATCTCTAAAATAATAATATATTTTTTATAATGATTACATGCTAAAATGATCATATTTTTAATACATTAGGTTGTATAATATGTAAAAATTAATATCACATTTCTTTTTACTTTTTTCAATGTGGATATCAGAAAATTTTAAATTACATATGTGGCTGGCATTTGTGACTCGCATTCTATTTTTATCGGACAGCACTGGTATAGACCTTATCTGGATCCCGATATGAAAAAATTAATCACCTCATTTAATTCTGCTCATTTTGTAGAGGAGGAAAGGCTAACTATTCCACTGAATTATACAGCTGAAAAGAAAGACTAGACATCACATAAACCTTTCAATCTACTACAATCCAGCAGTTCAAAGGCATTTTTATGCCAATCGGGGAAGACGAATTATGGTCAGAGTACCAGACAACCATAAGGCATTCTTGTTTATTTTGTCAGGCACTGTTTGGTGCTGTGGCTATGTAAGGCAGCGGCTGTATTTCGAGATGTGCCCTGACGAATGCGGGGCTGAAAGGCCATGATCACTGGGGTTTCCTTTAAAACACTTCACCAAAAAAAAAAAAAAGAGACAAAAGAAAGAAAGAAGGAGCAGATGAAACAAACGTGGCCAAATCTTGCTCATCGTTCACACTGGACGTGGGGTGTGCAGGGCTCCTTGCACTGCTCTCTCTACTTCATGTATGTTTGAAAGTGTCATAAAGCCACACACCCACGTGGACCCACGACAAACGCACTGGCATGGAATCACTTCCATTATTAGCACAGCTTCACTCCTGCTCCCAGGCAGAGTGTGGGGACGGGAGGCCCTGCATGCTAAGGACTCGTCAGCGGCGCTCACTGTCAGGGGCTCCTGCCTCAACCTCAGGCTCTTTCCCCTGTGCAGGAACCATCGCTCTCCTAACTGCCACCGCCAGGCTGCCCCGTGCCCCTGGGGGTCAGGAGGGAAGCCTTAGAGAGGGGCTGGGAACACTCCCGTGAAAATCCTCCGTCCACTGCCAGTACAGGGCGAGCACTGCTGATAGTGTCCCAGGGAAAAGGGGCACTCTGGGGACACTCCGTGTGCCTCCTGTCACGGAGGCACAAGTCAGGCCAGGCTCTGGGAGCTCAGAATGCCAGAGACGCCCATGGCAAGCAGATCAAGGTGCCGAAAGCCCCCGAGCCCAAAGACCTGGGCTCTGGCCCCTTTCCCGGCTAATTCGCTGGGGCACCTCTCAGGGCTCCAGGGTTCTTATCCATTCGCCAAAGACAACACCTCCAGCTTCTACCAAGGGCTGAAGGGACTGCACAGCCGGGACGTTTGCTCTAGACCTCGGTTCTCACACTTGGGCATGGGACAGAACCACCCGGGGGGTCTGTTGAAATGCGCATGGCTGGGCCCCACCCCAGAGTGATCCAGCAGGTTTGGGTGGCCCTAGAATTCTCCTGTCTGCTAAGTTCCTGGGGGGATGCTCGTGTGGCTGGTCCAAGGGCCACACTTTGAGAACTACTATTCTAGCCTAAAGTCTCACCTGCTTGACACCTCTGGACTAGAACAACAGCTCTTAAAGTGTGGGCCCCAGACCAGAGCATCAGCATTACCTGGAAAGGAATAAGAAATGCAAATTCCAGGCCCCACTGCAGACCTGCTGATTCAGAAATACCCGGGGTGGGGCGCAGGCGGCTGTGTGGGAACAAGCCCCAGGGGGTGCTGATGTGGCTGGAGTGTGAGAACCGGGCTCTCCAGGGCCAGTGAGTCAGGGGCAGCTCTCGGAGAGGCAGCGAGGGTGCTGAGGCCTCTCCCCCAGCTGCGTCGTGGTGCAGGGCCCCCAGGCCGTGAAGGGTGGACAGGAATTCAAGAGAGAGAAGCAAGGCACGGGGACCTGGGGCCCACGGCGGGTGGGCAGAGAGGGGGTCCCTGAGCTGCAGGAGGATAATTGAGAGGACAAGCACCAGGTGGGCATCAGACGGGCAGCCTGCTGCAGAGATGGCTCCAAGCAGCTGGCAGGTCCCCAGGGCCCCAGGGCCAGCCTTTGTGTTCTGAGTCAGACCAGCTTCATGACCAAGCTGCTCACCTAAAACTTATCTCACGCCAGCGAGACCCAACCCCAGGACTCCCTGTGTCCCGATGAGGGCAAAGAATTGGCAGAAATGATGCCTGGCCGGCCATGCCGACCAGCGGCTTCTAGACCAGCCCTTCCCAAGGACAGTCTGATTTTTATTCCCCACACTCCTGGGATCTTCTGCCTATAATTCCAATAACCCATGAGAATGTCCTGGAAATTCTGACATCCAAACTGTATTTCCACCCACAAGGGACATTTTTCTTTCCCATCAGATCACATGTCCTAATGTGTGAATTTTGTCAACATGGTCCCGGTTCTCCTACAAGGAGTGGCAGCTGGAAGGAGTCTGTGCTCTTGGGATGTGTGATTAGGAGGGAAAGATCAATTTAGCAGGTTCCGTGGTCGTGAAGAAGCATGTCACTTGAATATCCACGCACTGTCACGTGTATGCGCATGTGGGCCCCTCGACTCCTTTCTGGCCTCCAGTAATTGGCACTTCCCGTTGGTCTTTAGGTGGTTTCCATGGTGATGATGGACAGGGCTGCCCTAGCCTTGCTCTGGGACAGCAGGACATCTGACTAGGCACCCAGGGGACTCTGGGGGCTCAGCTGCCATCCTGGGCTGGCTTCCCACCCTTAGCGTCTCGGCACCTTGTCACTACAGCTGGGGCCCTATCAGATGATGAGCCACCCCCTGCCCCAGGGCCCTGGGCTGTCACCTTCCTCACCCCTACCCCACCCAGCAGCTGAGCCCATCCATGGGAGAGGCAGGGAAAGATGCCTAGAAGGTGTCCTGTCACCATAGCAATGGGGCCAGTTCAGACCAAGCACAAGGTAAAGGAAGAGTCCTTCACGGAGTATTTGTTTTGTGACTGATAGGTCACATACACATTCAAATTTCCATTTTCCAGAAGAGGAGACCAAGGCCCAGAGCAAGGAAACGGCTTGCCTAAGATCACACACACAGCAAGTGAACGAACAGCAGAGCCCAAGAGAGAATAAAACCACCTTTCAGATTCTTCAACTTGCCAAATTCATTCCTGCCTCAGGGCCTTTGCACTTGCTGTTTCCATTGTCCTGTGAGCTCTACCTCCCCCTGGTCAGCACTATCATGTAATTCAGGTCTCTGCTGAAATGTCACATCCCCAGGGAAGTCATCCTGACCACCCCTTAAAAAGTTGCACCTCCTCACCTCTTTGCTGTTTTATTTCATTATAGCACTCGTGTCTACCCAACATTGTACATTATATTTTTATTATCTCTATTTCCCCCACTAGGATGTAACCTTGTCTCTCAGCACTTTCTGCCTGACAGGTGCAGGGCTAAACTCTTTACGTATGTATGATTTCATTTAGTCCTCATAACCACCCTCTGAGGAAGGTACTATCTTTATCCCTATTTTACAGATTAGGAAACTGAGGCACAGAGAGGTTAAGTGGCCCACCAACATCACACAGCCAAGAAATGGAGGAGCCGGGACTCACACCCAGGCAGGTGGGTTCCAGAGTCTGCCTGGCACTTAGTACGGGCTCGATGAATGAATGAATGAATGAATGAATGGCTCTGGAGCCTGCCCTTTCCCGCCCACCTCAGTGCTGCCCATGACGTGGTCTCCCTTGAAGTCCCCGCCCGCTCTTACCTCCATTGGAGAGCTGGGGTGGTACAGCTGGCACCGTGGCTGCAGCCCTGCCAGGGGGTGTCCAGGGGCTGGGCCTCCCCGCCGAGCCAGCCCCGGGTGACTTCATGGGGACAGGAGCCTCCCAGGGGCGGCCGCGCCGGGCCTCACAAGCTGCTCGCTTCACTTCCTCCAGCACAGCCACATCACGGCGCGGCGGCGCCAGGGTGATGAAGACAGATGAGGCCACCCTCTTCTCAGGCTTCGAGGCCATCGCTTCGGCTCCTGGTGGGGCTGGGGGCAGAGCAGGGCTCAGGGCATGGGGGTGCACTCCAGCTGGACACAGATGCCCCCCCAGCCGTGGAGCCTCCCTCCACCCGAGGTGGCCCAGCCACCCCACCATGCCAGCCACCCAGCCCAGCACCCAGCCCAGCCAGAGAGGAGAAAGGGGAGGACACGTGCCCACCAGAGGACTTGGCCACAGGGTGGGACAAAAGTCCTGACTGCCCCCCGACCTGCTCAACTAGGGGAGAAAAGGGCAGGCCTGCCCGCCTCACCTCGCCTGTGATTACTTTTCTTCGTCTGATTAGAGTGAGGAAGGAACAGTCCAGCTGCCCCCAGCCCAGGGCCCCGCCTGCCCGCTGGGCCACACCCAAGTGACGCCCCTCACCGGGGATCTGGATTCTCCTCAGCGAGCCTGAGTCCCCGCTGGGGCAGGGAAAGAGAAGGGAAGCCTCAAGGGTCAGGCTGGACCCTGCAGGCCGAGGGGCGGGAGCGTAGCCAGGGCGACCTTTTACCAAGACCAGCTGGCGCGGAGCTCGCAGGCTGGGGGTGTCTTGTGCAGTGACTCCCAACCCTCCCAGGCAGGCAGGGCAGGCACTGTTATTACCTGGCTCACGGATGAGGAAACTGACACTCAGAGAGGTGAGCGGTAGAGCTGGGATTTGAACCCAGAGCCCGTGCTCTCGGCCACTTTGCTCTGCTCTGCCCTCTGTCAGCCCAGCCCACAGCCAGCGTGTCTTTCTCTGCCTTCCAGAGCCAGAATCTCTCCCTCCAGCCATCTCCAAAACCGTGGCCTTGGATCAGGCCAGGCCGGCACGGGGCGGGGGGCGTGTCCATGGTCCCGATCTTTCTGGAGCACAAATCCTTCTCCTACTCAAAACCCCTCTCTCCACGGCTCTCCACTCCCTCAGGATAAAGTCCCAATTGCTGTGGCGTCAACCTCCTTGAGAGCACTCGGACCACTCCTCCTTCCTCACTGTATCTTTCTCTTACTTGCCTTGGAAGGTTTCTACTGCGGTTTTTTTTGAGACAGAGTCTTGCTCTGTCACCTGGGCTAGAGCGCTGTGGTGTCATCATAGCTCACTGCAACCTCCGACTCCTGGGCTCAAGCGATCCTCCCACCTCGGCCTCCCAGAGTACTAGGATTCCAGGCGTGAGCCACCGCGCCCGGCCTGCTTCTACTATGTTTTTCCTCTCCTGCCCCCACAGGGTGAATTTTAGCCTTCCCTTAGAGGCCCAGCTCAAACATCACCTCCTCCAGGAAGCCTCCCCTGAGTCCTGGCCCCCTCCCAGGGCAGTTGTGCGCTTCCACAGGGAGGTGACAGCCCCACAGCAGGACAGGCTGGCTCACTGTCAAGTGTCTGACCCCAGCTGTGTCCGAGTGCTCTGTGTGCCCTGAGGGCCGCGCACAGTGCAGGGTAGCGTCGGCGTGTATATCTGGGAGCAGGGTGGCACCCTGGTGCAGGAAAAGGCCATTTTCCATCTCTCAGGCGGTTCCAACAGACAGTAGCCTCAGGGGCCGAGGCTGAGGTGGGGCCACCAGGGGATGAGCTGGCACATCCAGCTCAGGAGTCCTCGCTGGGCACCCCACGATTGTGCCCAGGGCTACCTCACTCTGTCTGGGCCATCGTGACAGAAGCCCAGTCCACAGGCACGAGGGGAGGAAACAGGGACCCAGAGTGTGAATCTCAAGAAGTGGGGCTGGGTGGGGGGGGGGCCCAGGGGACCCTAACAGTGGACTCGGGAGCCCAGTGGGAACTCATAGGCTCCAGAGTGTGTGGCTGCTGCGAGCTCTCTTGGTGACTGAGGGAGAATAATAATAGCAAAAGCAGCGACACGTGCTCCCAAATTCCTCTCCGGTTGGTTTGCACGATTGGCTACTTGTACAGCTCAGCCTGACAATAAAATATCTGTTCTGAAGAAGAGACCAATATGTTAGGACAGACCTTTAAAAATTCTTTAAAAATACTTCTCCTTTGTTTCTGGTTTTGGAAGTGACATTTGGAAGTATATATACTTATCCTGGCTGTCACGGGCTTTAGTTTCACACTTTGTTATAAGTTTAAGAATCTATTTTCACGAATGATGTTCAGAGCGCATCTGAAATTTAAGGAAGAAATATCAGACAACGGCCCTCGCTGATCAGGCACTTAACTCGCAACCCAGCTGCAAGCAGGGCCACAGGGCCCAGGGCGGTCACGACGGACTCCAAATTCTAACGGAGCATCATTCAGCCTGGAAGTCCAGGGGGTCCTTGGACCTTAGACGACACACCTTTTCTTCCTTGGATGGCACAAGATCCCCCCCAGATTCCCAGGCCTGTTCTCACCCCGGAATGGCCCAGTCTGGCCTGGGTATCCTGTGGTCAGTGCATTCTGGGCTGGTCTCAGATGCCCCCACCCCCACCTCCTTCCCACCCAGCCCTGACCCTGTGACACTCCTCCGGGAACTCAGAGCTGCCGGGTTTCTCGGAAAATGTTCAGCACTGAGGCCAGATGTTCCCAGCTGGGCAGCACCCCCTTCTCTCCCAAGCGGTTACTGCAGGGACCTCAGGCCCCAGGGGAAGGGACTGAGCTGGGGAGTTTCGAAGCCCTGTCACGTCCCACCAGGAAAGGGAGCCTCAGCTTCCCTCTCGTCACTCTGCCCTCGTCATCCTGAAGTGGGGTGCGTATAAGCTCCCCGTGGGGCAGCCTCCCAGCCAGCCACGCCCAGGGTACCCTCCACCCCCACCCTCCCCCCACCCAGGGAGAATCAGAGATCCAGTTGGGTAAGCGGAGAAAGTGGGAACAAAGGGAAGGAAAGTCATTTCCTGTCAAGAGGAAGGAAAGAGGCTGGGATCCAGCCAGCCGGCTTTAGGCTGCAGCCCTGGGGCAGGGGATGCGGTGCTGAGGGGGGAGGACCCCACCCCGGTGTCCCCTTCCCACTCCTACTGCCCCCTCCAAAGAACCTCTGGAACCACCTCTAAGCTTTGTTCTTTAATAACTGGATAAAGTAGTCTCTGTTAGGGTCTGGAATTAAACTTTGCCGGAGGTGGGGGAGGGACTGTGCCCTGACCCCACCCACCCAACAGAGGGGTCTGCAGCCTTGGAGAGGGGTTCGCTCAGCCTCTCTCCCGCCCCAGGGAACCAGGGGAGGCACAGAGCTGGGTTCACTCTGGGCCCTACTTCTTTCCCGCTGGGTGCCCCTGAGCAGGTCACCAAACCTCTCTGGCCTGGTTTTTTTCATAAAGAGAATAACGAGTCTGTCCTGAAGGGTGGCAGAGAGGATGAGGGTGCCCAGGATCTTGGCATGTGGTAGGTGCAAAGAGAAGGACAGCCGGTTAGCCCCTGGGGGAGAGGAGCAGCTCTGGGGGCTGGGCTCCGCCCGAGGGTCCCGGCACGACATGGACTTAGCTGCCACCATTATTAAGAGCAGGAATCTGGTCGCCGCCCCAGCCTGTCCCCAGGGTCTTCAGATCGGGGCTGGGGGAGGCAGGACCGCGGCACCTCCTTGGGGTCGCCTCGTCCCGAACCTTCCCAGCCCCCGACGGGCATCGGAGGCCCAGAGAGGGGCAGCTCGCGGGCCCCGCTTCCCCTCGCCTGACCCTGGCCGGGAAGAGGGGCCCGGTGCTCCCAGGAGCTCCGGAAACCCGGCGCCCTCCCGCGGGCAGCCAGGCAGGGCGGCTGGCCGGGTCACCGAGGGGCGCCGCCGGGGACTTTAATTCGATCCATGTGCGGGACGCTGTCCTCTTTGTGCGGGAGCTTCCGCCCTGCGCTCCCGGTCCGGCTCCCCGCTCCGGGGCAGGGACACGACCCCGCGCCGTCCCCGCGGCCCTGCCCCCCC